GGCGCGCGCGAACGCGTTGACAACGCGCGCCCTGACCCGCGCCGCCAGGTCGATCGCTGGGGCCTCTGCGCTCGTCCATCAGCAGACAAGCGCGCTAAGTGGCTCGAGCGGGTTCGAGCCGCTCTGGCCGCTGGGGGGCCGACCGCCGGGGCGGCGTCAAAACTGACCGGCGCTCTCTCCTGGGGTGCATCGCATCAGTTCCACCGGATGGGACGCGCGATGCTGCGGCCGTTGTTCGCACTCGCACGGCCGCTCGGCAAGGCTGTCCGCGGACGCGTTGAGCTGCCTGCGCTGGTGGGCGCAAGTCCTGGCCCATGATATAGTGGAGACCAGGGCTTGGGCCAGCGGCGACGAGCGACCGCCAGTCGTCATTCTCGCGGACGCGCGGGGCACGCCGCCGAATTTGGCCGCCGTGGCGCGCATCGACGAGCGCGTCGAGTACGCGGCGTGGGCGCCGCTAGAGTCTTCACAACGGCTGGGCTGCATCGCTTCCGACGTCCGCGCTCGCACCGGCGCATCGCCTGACCGCGCGCGACAGGCAACTCCGTGAGCGGCGGGATGCGCAGATTGTTGGGCTAGAAATGCTCGCAGTTGAGCTGGCTTTTGGCGCGTGGGGCCACCGGGTCCGCGGCCGCGCTGTCCGCGTCTTCAGTGACAACACTGTGGCTGAGTGCGCCTTCCGCAGTGGCTCCGCGGCCGCGCCAGATCATTGCGCGATCGTGCGCGCGTTCTGGGCGACGGCGTGTGCCCTGCACCTGTCGGTGCTGGTGGAGAGAGTTACAATGGGCGCCTGCCCGCACCGCCGCATCCTGCCGCGCATGCGCGAGCGCAGCGCGCGCAGACGACAACATTGCTGATCTACCCAGTCGCGAGGAGTATCGTTTACTGGAAGATTTGGGTGCAACGCGGCGCTGGCCAACGCTGCGGTCGCAGTTCCAGCGGCTCCAGCTGCCAGGGCAGCTTGCGTAGCAGGCCGCGGGCGCGCGCGGAGCGGGCATTGCCGTGCGCTCGCGCATCGGTTCGCGGGCTCGCGGGGCGGGCGAGCGGCGGGATCCGCGCATCCGCATCAGCTCGGCGGTTAGTGCGCCTTGCGCGTCACGTTGATTGCGAGGCCGATGTCCGCCCGTGCGCTTTGCTCGACGAAATCGCGCCCTGGTGCCACGGGAACGCGGCCGGGGCCGCGGGGGAAGTCGCGACTTGCATGCAGCGAAACGATGTCTTCCGTGTATCCAGCGTCGGGGAGATGCCGCCCGTTCGGACGTGGAACGGCTTCGAGGCGCTCCTGTCGCGCGCGCGCGTCTGTTGCGACCTCGCGGCCGCGCCGTGCTGGCGCGCAGGCGTTATCAAGTGAGGGGGCGCGCGTCCTGGAGCAGATGGCCCTGGCGCGCCCCCTGCCCGGCGGCCCGCCACCGCGGGGCGCGGCGGCCCGCTCCGTCGAAGGCTCCGCTTTGTGCCCGGACGCCGAGTCCGTTTTGTCGAGCTCGGCTTCCTCCTCTGAGTCTGCGCCGCGCGCAGGGCCATCGCACCGCGCGGCGCTAGCCCGCGCTTGCCCCGCCGCCGTGTACTTTGAGCGCGAGTGCGCCAGCCGCTCGCGGGTTGGGCCAGCGGCGAGCGCGCGGGCCGCGGCCGCGGCGCGCGGCCACCTTTCGGTGGCGCAGCGGGCCGCGCGGCTGGAGGCTGCGCGCGCGACGGCCCTCTCGGGCGGGGCGCCGGCCTCCTTTGGCTCGTGGCGCAGCGCCCTGCGCAATTACTTCGCTTTCGCTGGCAAAGAGCTCGGCAAATGCGGCGACGACGTGCTGTCGCCCTCCCCGTCTGAGCTCGCGCTGTGGGCCACGCGTTTTCGCAATCGCAAGACGTCTGGCAATTGCAAGGCGCAGGTCCTCAAGGCCCGCGGGCTGCTGCGTCTCGATTGCAGTGCTTTCGACAGGCCGCCGCTGGGATCCCGCGTCGCGTCGCGGCGGCTCGGCATCGCGCGCGCGGCGAGTGCGGCGCGCAGGTTATCATTCTTTCCTGCCAGCCATCGGAGCTGGCAGCGGGGGGTGCGGCATTTCCCCCCGCCCTCAACCGCCCCTGGGGGTAGTCGGCACCCAGGCGGCCCTGCCAGGGGATGGGCGCCGCGCCGTGGGCGGCGATTGCGCAGGCCCACGCGCGCGGCCCGGCCCCTGGGGGCGCCGCGCCCAACGATGGGGTGCTGGCGGCCTCGCAGGGGCGGTCGCTACAAGGCGCGCGCTGCGTTTGTTCGCGGGCAGCGGCAGCTCTCGCTGCTACGCTTTCAGGTCCGAGTTCCTCAACGTGGCCGCGGCGCTGCCCACTGCGCTCCAGCTCGATGGGCAGCCGCGACGAGCGTAGCAGGTTCTTTGGGATTGCCGCACTTTGGCGGCAGTAGCAACGCTCGTCGAAGTTCGAGAACTTCATCGTCTACGACGCCAGGGAACTTGTTCACGTTCGTTTCCTGGAAAATCTTCTTTCCGAACTTCGATCCAGGCCACCCGACATATGTCGTCCTCATGATCGTGCTGGTCGGTGCCCAGTGCATGTCCCTGACCGTGCTGTAAAAGTTGATAGGCCGGCTCTTAATCCGTTGGCACTTGAGTTCATCCAGGGGGCTACCAGGCAATTCATGGCGCAGGTACATTCTCTTTGGAATTTACTGCAGTTTACAGCTTGATAAGGTGCGCAGCACAATGCGCGATCATGATCTTGGCGGCACCGTGCTAAGCCAGCACTTTTACAGCTGTGACGTCGAGGTTCACCAGTGCTCGCTCCGGCCCTCACGCCTGCAGTTGAGCAAGCAGTTGCCCGCCAACGTCCCGACCCCCGTGGGCACAAAGAGGTTGAAGATATGCTTGAAGATAGCCTTGGGAAGATCAGCGCCGTTGTCGCTGCAGACATCCGCAGCGCAGAGGCCGAACTGCACGCCGTGCCCTCCGGCAACGAGTCAGGCAACCGCGCTTCCAGAGGCAGGCTGTTGGCCGTAAGCCCGCGAGGAGATCGAGCACGTTGTCTTCCAGCCCAGGGTACGATGTTTTCAAGACCCCACGCCTCGGCGCCCGAGTGGTCAGGAGCGTCAGAGTCGCCATTCGTTTTGCCCCAGGGCTTTCCTAGCCGCAGCGAAATGGAGCCACCCGTCGTGCTTCCTCCTCGACGGGCTCGCAGGCGTCCGGAGGTGTTCTGCCTCTCCCTCCACATCGTCTCGAACCCGCTCGGCCTGCACAGCGACGTTTGCGTGCGGCAGATCTCCCTGCCCACGTCGAGGAACCCGCTCGGCCTTCTGCGGTGCCGTCGGGCCCTGAGCGGCCGAAGGGGAATAATGAAAGGAAAGGAGACGAAGGAGAAGCGCAAAAAGGAGAAGAAGGTAAAGGCGGCTGGTGACTCGATTTGGGAGGCCACCTGGCCTTCCCATTGCTTCTCAGCTTCTGTCTTGACGAGATCGTCTGTCTACAGGGTCTGCAGGACGCGCGGACGGTGAATGGGTGCTCGGGTCACGTCATGGCAGGGTCTGCCCCTTGTGCTTGCGTGGAGCTCCAGGGCTGGCTTGGGATCAGAAGCCCGATGCCGGTGAATCTCGTCCGCGACCGTTTTGCGAAGGCGTCCTTCGAATCCTTGTAGGGGGGATGGGGACGTGCGCGGCAGAATGCTATGCGAGAGCACGTTCGGCGAGGCGCTCCCTCCCGAGGCCTGCGGCTCGCCTTGTCCTGCACCCTCGATGGCTCCGTCGCCGTTGCCCTCAACCGCTACACTTGCTCCCATCGACGGCGTCATCGTCGCCAGATGCAGCCGCAAAGAGGTCAACACCAGCTGAGCTGGCCAGAGCCTGCACCCCTGCAGCGACTCGATGCGCTGGAGACTTGCCCCCTCCACGGTCGCTTTGTGCTCCTGCTGCCATCTGCTCCCGCAGCCATCCTTTTGATCAGTCTCTCCCTCCTCCGCCCAGCCCAGCGTCGTCCCTCTCTCCCTCCCCACCCACCCCCTCTTCATCACCCTCCTCCCCCTCCCCCCTCATCCTGCTCCTCTCCCCTGCTGTCCTTCCAGGGCCGCCGCGTGCCGTCCGCTCCCTGCTCTATCAACGACGGTCCTTCCTCCTCTTTGTCTGGCCTTCTCTTTTGGCAGTGGCGTTCCTCCTCCTCCTCCTCCTCCTCCTCCTCCTCCTCCTCCTCCTTCTCTTCCTACTCGTCTTCCTACTCCTCTTCCTCCTCCTCCTCCTCCTCCTCCACCATCCCTTTTCCTGATCAATAGGTCCCCCCTGTCGCACTCCCAGACGTGTTGGTAGGGCGGGCCGGGCGTTTCGCCTGAGACGCCCTTACAAATTATGATCTCCAGGCTTGAACTTCGCAACAGTTTCAAGGATGGAGGGCGGCCCGTCTTCAATACGTGGCTTTCGCGTCAGCGCCGCACGCGTTCGTCTTAAAAGTTCGCAGCTGGTTCAAAGATGACAGGCGAGTGGTTTCAACATGTGGCTCTCGTGTTAGCGCCGCGCACGGTTCGCTTTAACAGTTTGCAACGGCTTCAAGGATGGAGGGCGGTTCGTTTTCAAAATGTGGCTCCCGCGTTAGCGCCGCATACGTTCGTCTTAAGAGTTTGCAGCATCTTGGAAGATGGAGGCCAGGTGGTTTTCAACATGTGGCTTTCGCCCGAGCGCCGCGCACATTCGTTTTTCTATTCCTATAAGGAGAAAGCAGCAATCATTGTGCAATCGTTTCAAGGATTATTATGTTTGACGTCCGAAGAATTGTGCTCCGCCGCGACTCAGGACTGTCAGGGCGCAGCGGCCATGTTCTTTCGCGGTGCTGAATTATCAGAAAAGTGTTCTGGCACGATTCAAGATGGTCAGGACGCAACAGTCACATGTATTCGCGGCGTTGAGGTCCCAGGCATGGTGTTCTGTAGGGGCCTCTGAAGAAGGAAGTTGGAACGAGGGTTGATTGCAACATTGATGCGTCTTGGGTTTCTCCTCCTCCTCCTCCTCCTTCTCCTCCTCATCCTCCTCCGCCCCCCTCCAGGACCAGCGGGTGGCGCAGGAGGACCGACCCCTCCAGGGCCAGGCCTGGCCCAAGGAGAGCGCGCCCTGGCCGACTGCGTCCTTCAACAAGGACCCGCCCGCCTCCTCCGCCTGGCGGGCGCCCGCGGCCGCGCCCGCTGCCTGCCCCGAGCTGGCCCCGCAGGGGCTGGAGGTCTTCGGGCGTCTTCGTCGGTGCTCGGTGGTCTTGCAGCCTCGGGGTGCTCTCCAGCAGCTGCGCCTCGCCAAGAGCGGTGGTGCGTTCGAGGTTCGAGGTTTTCGTTATGTTTTTGTCGGTTCTCAGCCGTTTTCCTGCCTCGGGATGCTTTCCAGCATCTGCGCCTCCCCGAGAGGCGTCTGGGGGTGCCCCGAGTGTACGCAGACGTCCCGACCGGCCGCTGGAGGTCCGAACCATGGCCCGAAAGCCACGTGAAATAAAGACCACCTTGGACCCAGGTGAAGTCAGGTGATCTGGGGGATCCTGGCTGGTGCTCGAGGAATGGCCGTGTCCCTGGGGGAATCGTGGCTGGTGTTCGAATGGCCGTGTCCGTGGGGGGGTTGGCGTGGCTGACGCTTGAGGATTGGCCGTGTCCCTGGGGGGTCGTGGCTGGTGCTTCTTGCCCACGACGACGAAGCCAGACGAAGCTTCACCCGGCAAGTGGCAGACGCTGCGGCCGAGGCGAGTGCCTACAGCACAGAGCCAGCCGGCGGCGACGGCGACGATGGCGATTTCGAGTTGCCGCTTCTTGGGGACGACCAGACTTCGCCTCGCCCTCCATTCTCCTTTCCTCCCGTTGCTCCTGCCCTCGTTCTGGCGCTTCGCTGCTGAGGGCACGCCTCGCGTTGGCGTTCCCGTCCTGCCTGGAGGAAGATGAGGAGGAGGAGGAGGAGGAGGAGGAGGAGGAGGAGGAGGAGGACCAGTGTAAACCCAAGACGCATCAACGACGCGGCCCATTAAAATATGGTTTTCGCTCCCACAAGCGCCCCGTTGGAATACAATTGTCTGAGAATCATCAACCGTGCCAAACCACCATTTCTGGGAATTTGCCGCCGCGAATAGACGGAGGCGCTGGTTTCAGTACCCTAATGGGGGAATCACGAGGGTGTTTTCACGGGCCCGTGAACGCCTAGATTGTGGGAATCTCAGGTGGTTTGCTTGTTTGGGTGCTCAGATTCGTTTGCTATCAAAACAGATTGTGAGGATGTCTAGAGCGATCCGCTGGTTTCAGGACTTCCAATGGGGAACCGCCAGTGTATTTTCACCAGCCCGTTCGCGCCCAGCTTGTGGTGTTGTCTCAGGCGGTTTGCTTGTTTGGGTGCCCATATTCGTTTGTTTTCAGCGCAGATTGTGAGGATGTCTGGAGCGAGGCGCTGGTTTCAGTATCCTATGGGGGGGACGGCCAGGGAGTGTTGCACGGGTCCGTCCGCGCCCATATTGTGCGAATGTCTCAGGCGGTTTGCTTGTTTGGGGGGCACATTAGTTTGCTTTCAGAGCAGGTTGTGAGGATGTCTCGGGCGAGGCGCTGGCTTCAGCACTTTCCAGTTCGCGGCCTGATTGTGGGAATGCCTCAGGCGGTTTGCCTGTTCGGAGCCTTGGAATTGCTGGCTTTCAGAACAGATTGTGAGGATGTCTCTGGCGAGGCATTGGTTTTACCACCCCATAAGAAAACCGACATGGGTGCTTGCACGGAGGAGTAAGGAGGAGGAGGAGGAGGAGGGATCAGGAGATTGGAGGAGGTTGGAGGAGGAGGGGGAGGAGGAGAACGGCGGAGGAGGAGGAGAAGAAGGAGGAGGAGGAGGAGGAAGAGGAAGAGGACGAGGAGGAGGAGGAGGAGAAGGAGGACGGATGAGCGACGGGGAAAATGGAGAAGGAGGAGGCTCGGCAAGGGTTGCGCGTCCACCACTCCTGGCGTCAGAGCTAGCACTGCGGGGATTGGCGTAGGCGGATACAGCCAGACAAAAGCTCACAGCCAGACGCTCACAGCGAGACGCGCCATTAAAATGAGATGCGCGTAAGGGGACCTCCGCGTCGAGTAACTCCACTGCCTCTACTGTGAGCTTCGTCAACGTGTCGATTTGTTTCTACTGCACTTCACGCTGCCCGCGTTGCGTCCAGGACGCGCGCGCCAAGCGTGCTGGGTCGCAGGCAGCGTTGCAGGCAGGAAGCCCGCTCTGACCGTGCCTGCTCACATGGTGGAGCTCGTCCCATTGCCAAGGATGTCGCCAGGAAGCTCATTCCAAGCGTGGCAGCTCGAGCGCGGCGATCCTCTCGCTGCCAGCGTTGCTGCCAGGAATATCAGTCCGAGCGCGCCGGCTGGCTCCTGGCGCGCATTTTTCTGCCTGAAGGACTGGCCAGAGTAGCCTGGGGCATAGGCGAGCGTTCTTGTTTCAGACGTACTTTTTCTTATAACATGTGGGAGTGTAATCGCGGAAGCCTTGTTGTAGTTTCTCTTAACGATTTGGCCCCAACGCAGTGTTTGCACTTAGGGGTTCTTGCTGATGTTACTTTAAGTGCTTCGTTGGGTGTGCACGGTTTTCGGCTTGTACCCTGCTGGTGGCGCCCGTGGGCGCCTCGTGGGGGGAGGTTTTGCTTGGTACCCGCCCGTGGGCGTCTCGTGCGCTGTGTGTGTGTGCGTGTGTGTGTGCGCGTGTGTTTGTGTCTGTGTCTGTGTGCATGCCGAGGTTTGGCCTCGTGCATTCCCGTGGGGGCATCGTGCTCTTGGTTAGTATGCGCAGGTATGTATCGCCTGGTCCCAGCTCGTGAGCGCCTCGTGGGGGCCTTGTGCTTTGGGGGGGGGGCCGAGCTCCACCCTGGCTCCTGCCCATGGGCGTCTCGTGGGCGCCTCTTGCGCTCGGGAGGCCGCTGCTGGCAATTGTCAGCTTCTCCTCAAAATGATGTCCCGCGCCCTCCTTCTCCTCTTTCACTCACCTCTTCCGCAGATGCCGGTTAGGCTTATGTTTACAGTGGGTAGGGGTTAGGCTGAGGGTGATGGTGAGGCGCACCTTCTCCTCCACAGGGGCCCGCTCCCCGTTGAGGCTTCCGAGGCCGTTTCGTCTTCCTCCGAGGGGCCAGAACGGGCCCCGAATCCCGTTCCTGCTCCGGCCAGTTTCGGCTTCATCCGCTCGTTTCGGCTTCCGCGCGTTTCGTCCTGGCCTGTTTCGCCAGGCCCGTTTCGGCTTCGGCGCGGTTCGTCCTGGCCTGTTTCGGCTCCGGTCCGTTTCGTCCTGGCCCGCTTCGACTCCGACCCGTTTCGTCCTGGCATGTTTCGGCTCCCGCCCGTTTCGACTTCGGCTCGGTTCGGCTTTTAGGTTCATGCTCACACCAGGCCAGGAAGCCGATATGGGCCGAAGCCGAACCCGGTTGAAGCCGAAACGGGCTGAGCCGAAACAGGCCGAAACCGAAACGTGCAGAAGCCGAACTGGGCGGAGCCGAAACGAGCCGAGCCGAAATGCACCGAAATGGGCCTGAAGCCGAATCGGCCCTTGTCCTTGGACTTGAATACCGCGAGTCAACTTTGCTGTTGCGTCCTGACGATCCAGAATATTGCCAGAACACCATTCCTGGAACTTCAACACCGCGAACCAACGTGACCGAGATGCCCTGACAATCCCATTCCGTGCCGGAACACCATTGAGGGGGCGTGAACCATCAAAATCCGTTAAGTTGTTGCTAACTTATGTGACGCATGTGCGCTGCGCTAAGGCGAGAAACGCATTTTGAACAAACTTCGCACTCAATCCGTGAAGTTCCTGCACACTTTCAAGACGACTGTGTGCGGCGCTCAGGCGAGAGCCACATTTTGAAAACCAACCGCCCTCCATCCGTGAAGCTCTTGCCAGCTTTTAATACAAATGTGCGCGGCGCTCAGGCGAGAGCCACCTTTTGAAAAGGAACCGCCCTGCATCCGTCAAACTCTTGCAAGATGTTGAAACGAATGTGCACGGCGCTCAGGCCAGAGCCACATTTTGTGAAAGCCACCCGCCCTCCATCCGTGAAGCTCTTGCAAGCTTTTAAGACGAATGCGTGCGGCGCAATGGCGAGAGCAAACTTTTGAGAAGGAAACGCCCTCCATTTGTCAAGCTCTTGCAAGCTTTTGAAACGAATGCGCGCGGCGCTCAGGCGAGAGCCACATTTTGAAAAGATGTCGCCCTCCTTTCTCGATGCCCTCGCAAACATTTAAGACGAATGCGTGCGGCGCCAAAGCGAGAATCATATTTTGAGAAGGACGTGCCCTCCACCCGTGGCGTTCAGGCGAGAACCACACGTTGAAAACAATGTGCCCTCCATCCGGAAAATTCTTGCAGACGTTGAAGACGGATGCGCACGGCGCGAAGGCGAGATCAGCATTTTGAAAGCCACCCGCCCTCCGCCTATGAAACGGGTGCAAACCTTGCAGTTGCAGGACCATAGGTAGTAAAGAAGTCTCATTCGAAACGCCTGGCCCGCCCTACCAACACGTTTCTAGATGCGACCGGGAGGAGTTATACATAAGGTAAGGGGTTGAGGAGGAAGAGCAAGAGGAGGAGCGGGAGAAAGAGGGGTGGGGAGGAGGAGGAGGAGGAGGAGGAGCAGCAGAAGGAGACGGAGAAGGAGGATGAGGATGAGGATGAGGGCGAAGACGAGGATGAGTTTGATGCTGATGATGAGGATGATGAGGATGACGACGACGACGACGACGACGACGACGACGACGACGACGATGATGATGATGATGATGATGATGATGATGATGATGATGATGATGATGATGATGATGATGATGATGATGATGATGATGATGATGATGATAACGACGATGACGATGACGATGACGATCATGATCAGGAGCATGATCATGATCACGAGGGTGCGTACGCGGACATGATTAGTGGGGAGTTGGGTGTCGTTTACTTGTATACCTTCAGGCTTAGTCTGCGACCGCAGCCCGTTCTAGTTCGAGGGTGACATGCTGGCGCATGCCCCGACGAACCTCCCTGTCTGGGTGATTCTCTGGCTGCAGTTCACGCATATCTGCAAATAGTACCTTGCACTCGAGGGGTGCGAGCGTGAGTTGGAGGTCGCAAGCGGGCCGCCACCACCGCCCCCCCCCCGAC